TTTGATCCAAGCACCCACGGCTGGGACGGAAACCGGCTTGTTTTTCGCGGCAGTATGATACATGCATTGGGAATAGTTTACGAAGAATGAATGCCAATAGCTTGGAGGCAACCGAAAAACACTAATACTGCGATGATTTTCGCACGAAGTGCGAGAGCCTTTCTTGAAAATCGGGACAATAACTGATTCGCCCCAGGAGGAAGGCAATTTTTCTTTATGTCAGATTTTTACGAACAACAAAGTCACATGGCTGATGATTGTCACGCTGCCGTACTTGAACATCTACGGAGTCCGTCCGAACCGGCAGCGTTAAATCGCTTCAAATACGAAATTTCGAGGCAAACTTCCAATTCGCTGGGTGGAGTAAGTGGGACGAACCAGGGTAGAACACAAGGTACTGCATGCACTGATAGACGGTGTGGCCAGTTGAATTGCGAGTGAAAGAACTTGGCCTAGCAGTCCAAACTCCTTTGTTGGTTGGTGATCAGAGACACATCCGCTTTGCAAAGGATCTCATAGACACCAAGTTTCTTGAGATCGGTGAACCGAATGAGCTGGAAAAGCTTATGAGTGTTGTCAGAGATGGCAGCGGCTTCCATCTCTAAAGCACGCTCAGACCACCAAGGCTAGCAATCTATGCACAGGCTTTGCTTGAGCAGCCGGTTGGCAGAGAGCCGCTGCTCGAAGTAATCTGAGTCTGCATGGAGAACTGTGAGGCGGCCGAACAGCTCCAGCAAAGATCCAAGCGTCCGGGCTAGGCCGCAGTTTGACTGTCCAGAAGTAGTCTTCGCCTACTGAATACCAGTACAGTGTTGCTCTATGTTTCGCGGTGGATAGCAACTGAGTGCGTCTGTCAGTGAAGACTGGTGGCCCGCCTGGACCGAGGGATCAATCGATCTGCTTGCAAATATCTTGCGGTGATTCGTTTTTGGGGAAAGCTCAAAACACATGCAGATTTACGCGCTGACTAGTGCATTATCCGAGTTAATGGAAGTTAACTAAAAAGACCTGAATTCCCGTACATCGCCACGCCATATGAAGCTGATTGCAATATGAGCAATTTGAAACCACGCTCGTGTTGGCAAAGGGGGACGCCAAGTTGAGGTACGCCTCATCGTATACAGAAATCTGGTGCTTGAGAGAAACCGATTGCTGTCTTCGCACAATGTGAGAAGTCTATCTCAGTTAACCCAGCGGTTTTCATCAAGGTGACTTACGTATGGTAACAGTCGGCTAACTCGTGGACTGAAATCGCTAACAAGGATAACGACATCCGAATTTTTAGCGTTACTCAAGAGCTGATGAAGCTCCCGATAAAATTCGTCCCTGACCGAGCCGCTACTGCAGTCATTTGGAACGTACACAGAGATCACAAACAAGTTGCGTGTTTATTCGCGATGTTCTTTAATTCTACATGAAACCCGAAGCAGAACTGCACACAGTTCGCTGTTAGTAGGGAACCAGTCCAGTAGTTCCGCCTTGGCCTTGCTACTTAATGCTATAACTTCATCATACAAACGAGTAGATCCTGCTTCTGGATCTCTAGAAAGACGCAAGTGATTTGTGGCTTTGCTGTGAGACTACACATCTCAAATTGTCATCGTTGTTATTTATCTTGCGTTGTGGCACGAAGTCAATTATATTGCAATTGCATGGGGACTTCTAAAGGACGCCTGCGTCTACAGAGGGACCATGGGCGGCTGCGCTGCACCACCCACAGCTCCATGCACACACCCCATATCCAGTGTAAACCAGAAGGAATAAGGCCGGGAGACATGTGGATAGGAGCCACATTTCATCAAAGGAGCGGGCCCACACTCGTTCAACTTGCAGAGCAGAAACATCCATGCCTAATTGAAAAACCATGCGAATCAGACGTACAAAAGACGGTGGCTTGACCGTAGTCCGTTCCAGACTGTGTGGGAGCACTTTTTGAGCCTAACACGACCACAAGGACCTTGCACTCCATCACCCACAGGAACGTTTCAGTCTGCTGGAGCCAGTAGTGGAGGTGAGGCGTAACAGACATGTAGGCAACTTGTCAACAATCCCATAGAGCGTACCCACACCGGGGATGGTAGACAAGAACCAATCATTAGAAATGACAATGTCAAATAAAATAAATCGAAGAAAGCATGCAGATATTCCGACATAACTATGCGCTAAATTACCATATAACATAAATGGTTATCAACAAATGCACGATACATTAAAGATGTCAGAAAAGTGCCACAAATGAGAAAATATTAACGAAGTTAAGCATCTTTAGTTTAAGTGATGTGAGCAAGTAAGTAGATAACTTAGGCAAACATTAAAATGAGGTAACAAAATACGCATCAAGATAATACAGCAAACCAATCACCTGGAATGAAGAAACCCAGCATGCAAGCACTCGGTTAACAAATCGTACCATAAAGCGTACCTACCAATGATGTGCCGGTTCTGATTCCATTCACAAGACGACAGGTCGACGTTTCGATGCTGATCCGGAGTAGCCTCCATTGTGTCTCACTAAGCTTGTCAGACTCAGGAATTCGCGACCGCAAGTGCTATAGCACCATGCTCTCGACGTCAATGGAGTACACTCCATCGGCGCCTGTCACTTCTGCACCTGCCGCCTATACTCCGCGGAAAACACCTTCGTGATCAGATCGCGCCATGCACGCCGATCAACCGCTTTCGAATCTCTACACCTAAAATTAACATTAGGACGTGATGGCCTCACATTGCTCATGTCCAGATAACGAAGCTTCGCTTTCCCCACACTCAGCTGACTATATAACAGGTGCTTCTCGCTAAGAGACAGGACACACAATTCAGCGTGAGTTAATTCATTGACGGCTCACGACCCGCTACCTTTCAGGTGTATACTTTACCGGAGGCTTTAACTGAGGACCCGAATCGTTCTCCTGACAGGTATCGATGCCGTTGCAGTAGCCTAGTTCAACCCTCAACTATGAATTACGCCATTAAGAAGAATTCCATGCTGCATCTGCCGTCACGCAGTGGCCTAAGGAAAAGGTCAACTTAGCTGCTGTATACAGCGGGATGGATAGGCGAAAATATGTTACCGCTGGCGCCTCTTCTTTCTGCTTTACCTGCACATATTCTCCCCGTCCCCGTTTCATCAAACCCACTGCTTCCTATAATTCAAGTAACTACACGTGCGATTGTCAGCCACCGCAATCGCATGTCTCCGCGCAAAGCACACAACATCAGGCACTGAAACGTGCGCATACTACTCGACCGGAACACGAATGAGCGCACTGAGCGACGCACTGTACTAGTTGCGATGGAACAAGCGCGCTACGGAGTCGATAACGCCGCACTCAAAGAGACTCGGCTCGTTGACCAAGGTATGCTGCATGAGGATGGTGCTGGGTACACGTGCTACAACACACCGTGAACATAGGGTCGGATATGCACTATCCGACAACCTAAATCGCCAACTGGTGGCAGAGTCGACTAGCATTAGCCAATAATTGATGATACGTCGTCTGCGATTTGAAAGAGATAAGTTTTGCACTTCTAGTAGCATGTATGGTCCCAAGATGCGTTATCCAGAAAATCGGTTTTACACTCAGTTATGCTCAGCGATGCGGTCTGTGCCGAGGTGCAACCGAGTAATCTTACTGTGTGATTTCAACGCGCGTATTAGGCGTGATGCTTCGGTGTGTACAGACGTAATCGGTCCGTATGGTATTAGCAAAGACGAAGGGAGCAGGGACCGGCTACTATCAAAGTGTACCATCCACGGCCTAGCAAGCACGAATTCCCAGTTTGCAAATGGTATGTTGTTATGTCCAAAAAGTATGTGTACTGGTTTACTTATGTACCACTAGACGAAGTAACACCTCATCGATGGATATCGGCGGATGGGTCGAAATCTTAGTTGCATATTAAGGCTTGTTTCAAATTGAGCCGATGAGTCATTCTTGTGCTATAGCAGTTCCTGTAAGGTCGTGTGGTAATACATCGTTAACTTTGTGGAGCGAAATGTCGAACAATGGCACGCTATCAAATTCTGTGTGAAATTCAAGACGTCTGTCATCGAGACATTTGTAAACTAAACGGAAGCTTATAAAGATGCCACTCTATCGAGCAATATGGTTTCTAGGTGGTATAAATCTTTCACAGGTCGAGAAAATGTTGAAGATGAACCTCGTTCCGGAAAACTAATTTTGTCAACAAACGATCAAAACGTGGGTTATGCGAGATGTGTTGGCGAAAACGATAACCTTCGATTTCCTAGACAGCCGTAGGATTGCGCACAAAGAACCTGTACCTCCAAGACACAGTTAATAAGGCCCTCTACAAAGATGTCTTGGAATGACTTCGAAAACGGGTACAGCGTGCCCGAAAGGACGTTGCAGATGATTGAGTGCTGTACCCTGATAATCCGCCTGCTCACACAGAGATTTCAGTTTGACAGTTTTTGGTAAAGAAAAAAATCTCTACAATACCACAAATTTCCTACAGCCCTGATCTATCTCTATGCGATTTCTACCCCTTCCCTAAGCTGAAATCTAAGTTGTAAGGTAATCAACAATGAACCGCGGAAAATATCAACAAATTGTAGCGGAAAATGACATTCAGTACTACAACGATCAGTGAAAAAATTACATTGGAACCACTGTGTAACTTCACAAGCGTCGTACGTTGAAGGAGGAAACTTATATTTTCGAGCGAGTCTTATATACATTTAAATAAAACAGTACACAGGACACAGAGGTAGCTACTTGGACGCACCCAAGGAGTGATAACGCTCACCAGCTAGACTATGTCATCGTGCGCCAACGGGACATGTGTGAAGTGCGCATGACACGTGTACTGCGTGGAGCTGAATGTCGAGCTGATCACAAATCGATGCGGACCAAATTGTACACCTATTTTCGTGAATCTGTGTAATGCCGACCTGCCGCCAACCGGCGCAAATTTAACGTTATCTCCCCAGGTAATACTGGGAATGGATGGAGTTGAAGAAGGCGATAGCTACCCACCTTGGCAATGTCAAATCCATTGCTTCAATAAAGACCTTTGGCACCACAGCGTGAATAGATGACTGCTGCTGCCGAGGAAACGACCGGTGGTGCAAAATGTAAGCGGCCCGATTGGTTTGATGGCAACAGTGCGGCTATTGGCGCCTTGGTGTGGGCGAAGAATGCAGCGTTCGCAGGACATGTGGATGACGCTATCCACGCGGAGCATAAGAGTCATTTTCGCAAACTTTGACTGCGAATGACCCGAGAGCTCCGACGCATCAAAAATGCCTGGTTGATGGAGAAAGCGAAGCAGATAGAATGCTACACCGAACATCGCCAACATGAGGAATATTTTGTCTCCTTGAAGGTTGCAGCCGCTGAGGATGCTGCTCGATGCTACTTCAGGTGCTGCCTCTACACAGACCGTAGACATGATGCAGACCTGACAGGAAAAGGTAAAAGCATAAAGGAAGAGGCTACGGAAATTGCAACACACGAACTACGAAAGAAAAGAAAAGTATGTGATGGTGACCAAAGCTGGAGTGAAGGGAATCGCCTACTCCGTGCGGTCAATCAGGCGATCGATCGAGCGGACGAACGAGTTCTTAAACACGCAGCTAATTGTACTTTGCCTCAGAGTTGAGATTACAGCGTTTTGGCAGCATTTTTGGCTACGTTGGCAGCTTTTCTGTTAACACGTTTTTCGTGGTCAAGGTCGTTGGAATTTTGATTTCTTTTTCGGCTGGGATAGAATTTTTACGGGGAAATGTTTGGGTGTTTAATTCGGAATAGCGAGATCAAGTGAAGATCTAGCAATGCGACGGACAAGCACAAAAATGTCACAAATTTTGCTGCCGAACATTTCCAAAAGCTTCTTTTTCAGAAATAACCCCAGATGGAAGCACAAATGAAACTGATTGAAAATTTAACGCAGTGCTTAAACGTACAATCAAACGGAGCAGCTACAAGGGACACGCAAGCTGTTTCACTTGATTTTCTTACGAATTCAATCACTGAATTTTAGTATGATGCTGATTCCGAATGCGCTTTCGAGGCGGGGTTCAAACGCTGGGAGGATATGTTTCGGAAGGATTTCAGCCGTCAAGATGATTCAAGGAAAGTGCGTCTTTTGCTCCGCAAGTTCGGTAATAACAAACATACAAGAATCGTTGACCACATCTTGCCCAAAGAGCCGAAGGACATCACTTTCAACGAAGCAGTGGCAACACTCAAAGAAACTTTTGGTGAGTCGACATTTTTGTTTAGCAATCGCTACCAATGTCTAAAAATTGTTAAGCGTGATAGAGACGACTATGGGGCACTAGCAGACATGGTTAACCGTGAATGGGAACGTTTCAAGTTACGCTGTTTGACGGATGACCAGTTTAAGTGTCTTATATTTGTTAGTGCTTTACAGTCTTCACGCGACGCGGAAATCCGCACTCGGCTCCTTGCTAAGTAGGATCAAAATCCAGATTTGACATTGAAGTCTCTTGTACGTGAATGCAAACGGTTGATTACTTTGAAACATGACACCGTTATGACTGAGCAGAGTCGCCCCACCAGTGCCGATACTGTTCATGCTGTGCAAATAGCAAGAAAGGCTGGCTCGAACAAGCCGTTCAAAAGAACGCCGAACAAGCTGCCTACACCTTGTTGGTCATGTGGTGAATGGCAGTTCGCACGATACTGTACATTCAAGCGTCACATTTGTGAAAAGTGCCATAAACGCGGCCACAAGGAAGAGGTTTGCCATCAGTCCCGGCCAAGAAACTCGAAGCAGTCCTACCGAAGGAAGAACTTCAGGGAGCCTGAGCAGAATCATTATCGGTGATTGCCACGTTTCACAGCGATTCTAGAACACGCCATCGATTTATCACTGTGCTTATCAATGGAATCCCAACCCGGCTGCAATTCGATATGGCATCAGATATAACGATCATTACCAAGAACACTTGGAAGTACATAAAGAAGCCGAAGATGGTTGATTCCAACAAAGTCGCCCACAACGCATCCGGTGAAGTGCTGAGGCTGGCCGGAGAAATAAATTGTAAAATTACATTCAACAGAGTGGAACAGGCCGGAACCTGCTACCTGTGTGATCGACCGAACTTGAACCTTCTTGGACTTGACTGGATGGAAAAATTACAACTGTTCGATGTTCCAATGAGTCAGATTTGCAATAGAGTCCGAAGCGACCCAGTCCATGCATCATTGTCGATGGAAGACATGACAAGGAAGCTAAAGCAGAAATTTACCGCCTTGTTTAAAGATGGTCTCGGATACTGCATTAAGTTCAAAGCAAAGTTGTGCCTTCGTAAAGGAACCAAGCCAGTCTTCAGAGCAAAAAGACTGGTACCGTATGCAACTATGGTAACAATGGATCAGGAGTTCGACCGACAGGAAGGACCCGGTGTCATCACACCAGTGAACTACTCTTCATGGGTTGCGCCGATTGTTGCTGTGAGAAAGCCGAAAGGTTAAGTGCGTGTCTGCGCCGATTTTTCGAGTGGCCTGAATGCCGTATTGGACGAACATCAATACCCACTTCCGATACCACAGGATATCTTCGCCAAGCCGAATGGTGGGAAGTGTTTTGCCAAGCTCGACTTGTCCGATGTCTACCTCCAGGTCCAGGAAAGCTCGAGAGAATTGCTGACCATTAACACTCATCGTGGCTTATACCAGTACAACCGTCTCCCTTTTGGCGTGAAAACAGCACTAGCTATCTTCCAGCCGCTGATGGATCGGACGGCAGAAGATCTATTTCAGCGGCTCGGTGAAGTGCTTGTACGTATCCAGTCATATGGTTTCTGTATCCGTGGAGACAAGTGTATCTTTTTTACATCAATCATCAAGGACCCGGCTTCACTTTTCTCAAAAGACGGTCGTCGCCCTGATCCAGAAAATATCTCAGCTATCCAAAAGAAGCGCCCAACTGTGGACTTGCAATAGCTGCGTTCATTCTGTGGCCTAATCAGTCATTACAGCGTTTTTCCGCTCGAACACCATCGCCTGCGTGCCCCGCTGAGCAAGGGCCAAACCTGAAATTGGACGCCAGCGTGCCAGACTGCGTTCAAGCGGGTCAAGTCATTGCTGGCTTCAGACCTACTACTAACTCACTTTGATCCCTCCCGGGAAATTGTCCTTGCCACAGACGCATTGAGTCTAGGGATCGGTGCCGTAATTTCCTATAGGTTCCCAGATGGATCTCAGGCGATCGCATATGCAGCCAGGACGCTGAGGAAAGTCGAAAGAAACTACAGTCAGATCGAGAAGAAGGCATTGGCCATAGTGTTGCTGTGAAATTTCACAAGATGCTGAATGGTCGCCGCTTCAAACTCTTGACGGATCATAATCCACTGCTGGTCATTTTCGGCTCGAAGAAGGGAATTCCTGCCTATACAGCCAATCGACTCCAACGATGGGCACTCACCTTGCTGGGCTATGATTTTGAAATCCGGTATCAGTCAACGGATTCGATGGGTCAAGCAGATGCGTTGTCACGCCTCACTGATTCCCAGCAGCAAGAACACGAGGATACCATCATTGCCTCAGTTGAGATCGAACTTGATGTCAAACTCCTGGTGAGCGAGGCACTACATGGTATGCCAGTTACGGCCGATGCTGTACGGGCCGAAACGCTTCGAGACTCAATCCTGAGGAAGGTGACGCACTTCCACAGAACCAGCTAGGCACGTTCGTGTTCCTCTTCCGAAACGCAGCAATTCTATCAGCGAAGACATTCGCTCGCCATTGTGAACGATTGTGCCATGTTCTCAGAGAGAGTAGTCATCCCGCAGAAATGCCAAAAAAGAGCGGTACGGCAGTTCCATGCAGGACATCCAGGGTTCAACCGAATGAAAGCGCTTGCCCGAAGTTATGTGCATAGGCCGTTTATGGACAGACAGCTGGAGCAGCTAGCTGGAAGTTGTGGCAACTGCGCTACTGCTACAAGGGCACCACCGAAGACTGAACTCCACTCGTGACCTAAACCAACTAAACTTTGGAGCCGTGTTCATGTCGACTTTGCAGGACCAATCAATGGCCAGAACTTTCTCATAGTGGTCGACGCTTACAGCAAGTGGCACGAAGTGTACCTCATGAGAAGCACGAAAACCAGCGCAACAGTCTCGAGGTTGCGACAAATCTTCAGCAGGTTCGGATGCCCTGAAACTTTTGTGACTGACAATGGAGCACAAATTACTTCGGCCACATTCACGGAATTCTGCCAACGCTACGCCATCAAACACGTGTGGTCTCCACCATTCCACCCACAATCGAACGGCCAAGCGGAGAGAGTTGTGGATACATTCAAACGCGCTCTCCCCAAATCAAGGAGGGAGAGAGACATAGAGGAGGTGACCGTCCGCTTCCTCTTTCTGTGCCGACCTACACAAAATCCACAAACGCCGGGGGGAATATCCCCAGCAAAGGCAATGAAGAAGAGAAAACTTTGCATGTCATCTGATGCAGTTCGGCCGTCCTCAGAGTCCATAGCTACTGAAAGGAACCTCAAGATGGAACGTGACTTTAATCAGCGGTATGGTGCCAAGCGACGTTCGTTTAAACCGGATCAGCCAGTACTTGTGCGTGATTATCGGGATGGACACGCGAAATGAACATCAGGCATGATCCAGGGCAAGCGCAGAAGCGTCATTTACGACGTGCTGGTTCGAATGCAGGTATGGGTACGCCATGCAAACCAACTGCGACTAACAATGTGTCAGCCACAAGCAACAGAATCTGCCGAGCTTCCATCTGACCAGTTGACAAACAGCTTCAACTTGCCTAAAGAGCTAGTAGAAGAATCCTGTCATCAGACGAATGGCACCAGACCGCAGTACACGAAATTCGAATCCAGAACACTACAGCCAAGGCGATGGACCGTTAGGCGAAGAACTCCTTCCAGAAGGCTTCAGGTCAATCCCAGACTAGCATCATACACCACGGCAGCCGTTTCAGGAGGAGAGATATCCGGGAGAAGGTAAAAGCATAAAGGAAGAGGCTACGGAACTTGCAACACACGAACTACGAAAG